AATTGCCTCTGGGGGAGAATCCTTATACTTTGGGTCTTTCCTTTTGTGATGTAAACAGAGGAAAGTTATTCTCACTGTTCAGCATTTACACTGAATTCATCTCATTTTTAACTAATCTCACTCTCTATTTTAATACTTACAGGCCAAAGATGAGTTTCTCTGTGATGCCCATAAGTGCCACGGCTATGACACTGGTAAAAAGTAAAAGACCGCTGTAGACGTGGAGAGGCATAAACGCTGCTCTCCAGGACGCAGGTGTAACTGGTATCAAGTACATGCCAACTCCAAGAACAAGCTGCCCATTGAAAGAGAGAGACAGATAAAACCCACTTCAGATCTGAAGACTGCTGTCCACTATGACTTCGTCTTTTAGAACCACCAGTAAGAGGTTCACAGAAAAATGAGAAAGCTATACTGTTATACTTTAGATGTGTTAACAGTCCAGTCTAATGGTAGTAGTAGCTACAAAAACCCTGCAACAACTGTGCTTCTTAGGTAAAATGTTAGACGATACTCTTATCTTCAATATGTAACAAAAGTAGGTCTTTGTTGTAACTGCTTTAAAAAAAAAACAAAACAAATAATTGCATCTATTTACCTGCAGACCGTACAGTATAACAGCCGTGAGGCCCAGCCAGCTGTGCAGACTGTACATGTTGGGAATGTTGGCAGCATTGTGGAAGTCAAAAACTGCCACCATGGCTATAACAGCAAAAACAAAGGCTAACAAATTCAGTCCTGCATGAATAAACTTCATCATGAGTTTGCTGCACTGCCAGGTCCAGGGGAGCCTGTAGACTATTATTGCTGCAAGAGAGAGTAAGACAGACAGTTAGCAAGAACTTAAGGCAACAAAAAAGCCTATTTTTTTAAAAAAATAAAATAAAATAAAATACATTTGACTACATATTTCTAAAGTTGTAGGCTTACTTGCTTTATACTATCTAGGATGTAATGTTTGGGTCTCATAGCCTCATGAAAATCATATGGGGGTAAAAAAAAAAAAAAAAAAAAAAAAAAAGCACACAGGTGTTGTAATGCATATATAATCTATATGCCATGTGCCATGTCACAGTGCATGTTCAATCATAAGTTTCTCTCTTTAGATGAAGGACGAGTGTACTGCCAGCTTGTGATTCCCTCATTACGCAGTGAAGGCTAGAATCAGGCAGGCAAACAATCCAAGCCCGCCCACTTTGAAAAAGTCTTTGAAAAATGTGAAGGAGGACATCAATTTTGGATTTTTATTTGTACCTTTTAATCCCACAGATATCTTGGTATAAGAAAAAGAAGTGCACTTTCAACAGTTAGTCTCAATTATGTCTTATAAAGATAATAAAGACCCTTCTTACCTATTCCCTGCAAGAAAATAAATCCAGTGACTATTAATACCGGATGCCAGTTGAATTCGGCGAGCCCTCCATCCCAGGCCAAACCTTCCTTAAAATACAGAACCCATCTGAAGACGAAGATTATGGAAACAAGGCCGGCGGCGGTGGCGGCACACAAAGCCAGCAAAAAGTGCTTCAGGTTCTCCATCGGCGTCTGCAGCGGGGGAGAGGCAGAGACTGGACCGGAGCGGCTGCTGCCAGGTACAATAACAACTTACAACTCAGTGCTGCCCGTTGAGGAGGGACCGCGGTCACGTGACCCCGAGCTGAGAAAACGTTTCGAGGGAGGGTGTTTTGTAACTTTTGTGGTTACAGAAGAGCGTCTGGGATCGGTTTTATAAGATGTTTTGGTTTTTTTGTTTTTTGGCGCTGCGTCACCCTCTGACTCCCATTTTAACACAACTCCACATCTACGCAGTCCTTCAAAGTCTGAGCTCCAGCGGGATTAAAGAAACAGCCATGTGGGCATGACTAGACATCTGTGGCTCTGGTTTTGCTTTGTACTGCGTTTTATGAATAGGCACTTTTCACATTACCCCCCTATTTATATCTTACTAATGCACCACAAGCCACATTACAAAGAAAACAGGAAGACAACCCTTTGCTTTTTTCTTTTAAAGCTATACCTACACTGTAAATATTAACGTGTCACTTACCCTGACAGACAGCTACAACATTTAGGGTTGAAACATTAAGACACAAAATCCTACAAACAAGGTCAAAGCCACTTTGAGCTTAAATAATGAAGATTCATTATTTAAAAACTTATTAAAGAAGAACACTTGATTAAAGTTCAAGTTCACGGATATCAGGAAGCATAAACGATTGTGAATCAATTTCACTTCCCTTGGCACAAATAATAGTCACGCACTGGAGAGGCAACAAAACAAGGAGTGGTTTTGCAGCTGGTGGCCACAGATCATTGCTCTTTTCTTATCCTTCCTGGCTGATTTCTTTTCTCTTATTTTGCTTTTTGTTGGTGTCAGTACCTGCAGCCCATTTGGGTTACAGAGGTAGTCCAGCTCCTCAAGGGTGAAACATCCATATGTGCTGTTGCAAGGTTTGCTGTGACTCCAAGGATAGTTTTTTATTCAAAATATTTTTATTGGGTATATGTGGCTATAGTTTACAAAAAAAAAAGAGAAGAAGACGGAAAACACAAACTTCTTGACGCATTGTCAATCATCCAGGAAAATAAATCTCCAAAAGTTGATTCTGTTCATCTGAACGTAGCGTTTTCTGGGAGAAACGTTTCGTCACTCATCCAAGTGACTTCTTCAGTCTCAGCTGACTGCAAGTTTCCCCAATCGTATAAACAGTACATTTGCATAATGACTGAAACCAGCCCACTGAAGGAACAATGGGCTGTGAGGTCAGTTCCTTAATCATAATTATGAAAATTCTCATAACCATTGATCAACAACCACTGACCAAAACCCACTGATCAAAGACCACTGATCAATGGCCATGAGTACCATTCACAGAGAGTTGGGGAATGGCTGCAATCACGGCATTGTAAGATGGCGAAAGATGTACCCTTAGGCCCCCTCCTCGATTCAGAGATGGTCTTTCCCTTTTCACGTAAATGGCCTCCTTGACTCCACGCTCAAACCAGCGTTCCTCCCTGATGTGTACATCCTCATCCTTGAAAGAGTGTCCACTAGCCTGTAGGTGTAAATGGACTGCAGAGTCCTGGCCTGACGAGGTAGCTCTTCTGTGTTGTGCCATCCGCTTCGCCAGAGGTTGTTTGGTTTCCCCGATGTATAAATCCTGGCAATCCTCCTGGC